ACCTGCTCCAACACCAGATGATCCACAGTGGGGAAAGGCCCTACATGTGTGAGGAATGCGGGAAGAGCTTCACTCAGATCTCTGACCTGCTCCGACACCAGATGATCCACAGTGGGGAAAGGCCCTACATGTGTGAGGAATGTGGGAAGAGCTTCAGGCACAGCTCTACCCTGCGCACCCACCGTCGCATCCACAGTGGGGAACGGCCCTACACGTGTGGGGAGTGTGGGAAGAGCTTCAAACGGAGCTCCCACCTCCTGAGGCACCAGCTTATCCACAGTGGGGAACAGCCCTACATGTGTGGGGAGTGTGGGAAGAGCTTCAGGAAGAGCTCTGACCTGCTACGACACCAGATGATCCACAGTGGGGAAAGGCCCTACATGTGTGGGGAATGTGGGAAGAGCTTCAATCAGAGCTCCATCCTGCTCCGACACCAGATGATCCACAGTCGGGAAGGCCCTACACGTGTGCGGAGTGTGGGACGAGCTTCAGGGACAGCTCCAGCCTTTGCAAACACCGTTGCATCCACACCGGGGAATGGCCCTACAAGTGCTTGGAATGTGGGAAGAACTTCAGCACAAGCCCCAAGCTGCTCAGCCACCAGCACATCCACACTGGGGAACAGCCCTACACGTGTAGGGAATGTGGGACAGCTCCACCCTCTACACCCACCGTCGCCTCCACATCAGGGAGAGGCCCTTCCACTGTGGGGAGTGTGGGAAGAGCTTCAGGCAGAGCTCTTCCTTGACCTCCCACCCACGGACCCACCAGTAATGGAAGCCCCGAGTGCCCCGACTGCGGGAAGAGCTTCGGCCGCTGCTCCAACTCCATCAGCCATGGGAGGACCCGCGTTGGATGATCCACAGGGACCCCCGTTGGGCACAGACCTGGTGTGCTGGTTTTAAGGTAAACCAGCAGGGGAAATGACAGCGGTGACATCACGGGGACATCGATGACATCACATGGACAGCGGTGACATCACAGGGACATCGGTGACATCACAGGGACATTGGTGACATCACAGGGACAGCGGTGACATCACAGGGACAGTGGTGACATCACAGGGACAGTGGTGACATCACCGGGGGTTAATTTTGGTGTGAAAATCTCCTGCTTTGGCCAATAAATTCTGACTCCTCCTCCGGCATCTGGCAGTTCCTCTGTGGGAACCAGGAATGGGAATGGGGACAGGGGGAATGGGAATGGGGACACCTGGAATGGGAATGGGAACACCTGGAATTGGAATGGGAACATTGGGAGCAGACTGGGAACAAGAGGAATGGGAATGGAGACATCAGGACCTGGGAATGGGGACACCAGGAATTGGAATGGAGACACCAGGAACTGGGATGGGAACACCTGGAATGGGAATGGGAATTCGTGGAATGGGAATGGGAACACCTGGAATGGGAATGGGAACATTGGGATCAGATTGAGGACACCAGGAATTGGAATGGGGACACCTGGAATGCGAATGGGAACACCTGGAATGGGAATAGGGGAAACAGAGGTGGGATGGGAACACCTGGAATGGGACTGGGGACAATAGGAATGGGAATGGAGACACCGGGAATGGGAATGGAGACACCTGGAATGGGATGGGTAACTCTGGAATGGGAATAGGAACACCTGGAATGGGACTGGGGACACCATGAATGGGAATGGGGACATCAGGAATGGGAATGGGAACATTGGGAGTTGGAATGGGAACATTGGGAGCAGGTTGGGGACACCAGGAATGGGAATGGGAACACCTGGAATGGGAATGGAGACACCTGGAATGGGATGGGAAACTCTGGAATGGGAGTAGGAACACCTGGAATTGGAATGGGGACACCTGGAATGGGAATGGGGACATCAGCAATGGGAAGAGGGACACCTGGATAGGGAATGGGAACATTGGGAATGGGAAGGGAATATTGGGAGCAGGTTGGGGACACCAGGAATGGGAATGGGGACATTGGGAGCAGGTTGGGGACACCAGGAATGGGAATGGGGACATTGGGAGCAGGTTGGAGTCACCAGGAATGGGAATTGGGACACCGGGAATGGGAATGGGGACATGGGAGACCAGGATAGGGATAGTGGGGACAGGAATGGGGACACTGGGAGCAGGTTGGCACAGCAGGAAGTGGGAGTGGGGACAGGGATGGGAACCCCAGGAATTGGAATGGGGAGAGGGATGGGAACCCCAGGAATGGGAATGGGGACAGGGATGGGAACGTGTCTCTCCAGGAGTTGGTTCAATACAAAGGTCGGTCCCTGGCTCGAGGCCACGGGAAGCCCCTTCTTTGGGAATGTCTGGGAAGCAGGTGTCAGAGGTTTGAAAAGAGGTGTTGGAATTGTTTCCCAGTGTCCCCCCCATTGCCATCTGTGTCTCCCGGGATGGGGTGGGTTGGAGCGGAGCCGCAGGCGCTGGGCAGGGGCAGTGGGGGGAGGGCGGCTCTCGGGGACACCGCGGGGCTGCGAGAGCTTTGAACTGCCGGGACAGTTTCTCCCCCCCACCTGGGGATTTGGGACTTTGTTTGGTTTCTTCTCAAAGTTTTTGGTTGCACCATTTGTTGTTTCTTCAGATTTTGTTAATAAAAAGCTGTTTCTTTTCCTTTTCCACACTTCCACCTGAAGTCTCTTAATTTCTAAGTTGGAATCTTGTTAAACTAAGACCCAGTGCCCTCAGGGGGAGGAGGAGCAAAGGAGACCAAGAGGTACCGTGGCCACTCAAAGTGCAGAGGAACAACCTGTGCCAGTAGCAGTTGCCCCTCTACAGGAGAAATCCAAGACCAAATCAGCTCAGTTAGTGAGGGATGAAGGGGAAGCAGAGCCCTCAGAACAGGAGCAAGAGGCAGGGCCAGAGATAATCACCAGATCCCCATCCCCGGCTGACCTGTGAGAGATGTGAAAAGATTTCAGCCTCCAGCTGGGAGAGCCCCTGCTGACCTGGCTGCTCCAGTGCTGGGATATCATGGCCCAGCATATGGAACTAGGTGGGAGTGAAGCCAAGCAACTGGGATCCCTGTCCTGGGATGTTGGGATTGACCAGGGGATTGGGAAGAGGACAGAAACTCTCAGTCTCTGGAGGTGAGCCCTGTCAAGTGTTAGGGAAAGGTGTTCTCTCAAGGCTATCTAAGAGTGTGCCCAAGCAGATGGAACACCTGGGAGAAAGGGATCCAGTAGCTGAGAGAATCAGCTGTGCTGGAGATAATCCACAGGGATTCAAATAAGGACCCTGTAGATCCAGGTGAGGTCCAGTGCAGACAATCCCTGTGGGGGAGGTTTGTACGGGGAGCACTGTTGTCACACACCAACTCACTGGCAGTGATGGCATGGAAAGAACAAAACAGTGCTCCAGGTGACCCCCGACTCTGGCAATATGAAGATCATCTTTTCTCCTCCCGCCAGACCCGTCCCTTGTTGCGGGGGAGTGGAAGGCTGAGAGAAAGTTTAGTAGAGAAGCCCTTTTGTGGAGCTACGAGGTGCAGGAAGGACCCTCTGGCTTTCTAAACTCCTTCTCAGGGAGGAGCCCGGGGGCGGCTGGATCCAATCCCAGCCCCAGACTTTGTCAACAGGTCAAGTTAAAGGACTTACAGAGGTGTGCTAGAATCACTGTCCTGCAGGTTTTAATGATGCCAAATCAGAGATATTTATATAAAATGAATCCTTTATTATGACAAAGGAACAAATAAACAGATGAGTGAACAGACAAAAGATCTTGATCAGAATTATTTACTATAGAGTGTAAAAGCTAAAACCTACTCGTAGAGTATAAAACAGCATAAAATAATGCACTGTATCAAAGTAATTCCAAATCCAATTTATCAGAGCAGGCAAAAAGAAACCACCTAGAAAGTCATCACCTAGAGACTGATGTAACTCACCACACAACTTAACCCCTGAGTAACCACAAAGTGCTGTCCCTGCTCCACAGGAGAAGCTCCACACACTCCAAGAAAGTCTGTGGAAGAATCTGCCACGTGAAAGTTGGACTGGGCTTTTAAGTTATAAAGTGATGGACTGCCAGTGCCATTTCTCCAGGCCAGCCAGCAGCTTATCTGTCAAATCCTGCTTCCAAAAGCAGGGGGGGTGTTTGCAGTTGTGAACCAGGCTGGTTTTAGCACAGTCCAACACTAAAGCAGCCCTTTGGCACCAGGGGTAGCTCAGCACAGACAGTTGGATTGTTTGGATTCTCTGACTGCATTTTAGGCCTTATGAGGGCAGAGCATCCTGCCAGACCCAACCCACTGTTCCCCCAGTTCTTCCCTTCCGGCGCTCCCTGCACGTGACTCTGTCCAAGCCCGTGTCATGACCTGCTCCTGAGGCACAGCAAAAGGTTCTTTTCCTGAGGGATCCCTTGGAGGGGATGGAAGAGAAACGTTGCTGGAGAACCAGAGTGACAACAGGAATGGCTCTGAATTTTGGCACCTCTGAAATCAGAACCGTGGATCGATCAGGTGGTGAATCCTGCCAGGATGAGAGCAGGGGACAGAGTCACCACATGCCTATCCCCATCCCATGGGATGGATCCAGCTGTGGAGCCCACAGAGAGGAGGAACTGCTCCAGAATCCCACCTCATCCTGCTTCATCCATCCCACCCAATTTCACTGTGGAATCCCACCCCGGTCCCACTCCATCCATCCCACCTGATCCTGCTCCAGAATCCAGTCCTGATCCCACTCTGGAATCCTGCCCTGATCTGGACGCAGTCCTGCTCTATCCATCCTGCCCTAATTCCCCTCTGGAATCCCACCTGGATCCTGCTCCATACCTGTGGGGAACCTGTTGGTTCCTGTGTCTGTTCCTGTGAAAAGAAGATCCATGAGATTCTGGCATGGATCACACACCTGGATCTATACGAGGATCCATCATGGGATCCATGTGGAGAGGATCTGGACCGGGATCCAGATACGCTGCTGGTACTCACTGGTGGCCATGTTGTATCCATTCCCGTCCCTCTTCCCTATGGAAAGAAAGGGGGATCAGCACCCGTGGCACAGGATCCCCGGAATGCTGCCGGGCGGATCTGTGCCCCTTCCCGACCCCCATCCCGGGAGTTACCGGATCGGAGCTTCCAGACACTGAATCCGATGAGGCCGATGATGATGATGATGATGATGATGGCAGTGCCGACAGACACAGTGACCAGCACTGGGGTGGAATTCCAGACGGATTCCGGCTCTGGGAAGGGCAGAAGGTTGAGGAGGGGGAGGGGACCCCCAATTCCACTGCTCCACATTCCCAAATTCCTCCTTCCCAAACCCCCAGTTCCCACATTGCCCGTTCCCAGCCTCACCCCAGGCGAAGATCCCGGGCTCCGGCATTCCGGTGTGCTCCACCCGGCACCGGTACTGCTCCCGCTCCCCCGGCAGCGCCTCGATCCTGGCCCAGCTGTGGAAGGTGCCGTCGCTGTTGGGAACGATCCTGCCCCACTCCGTCTCCTGATCCCGCAGTTCATCCCCCTTCAGCCAGTTGATCCCGATCATCCCGGGGTAGAATCCGTACGCGTGGCAGGACAACGTCAGGATCCCGTGTTCCTCTTTCCCGGACACGTGGACATCGGGGGGATCTGGAATGGGATAAGGGTGAGATCCATCCATGGAATTCCCATGGGAATGGGATTCAAGTGAGATCCATCCACAGAATTCCCATTGGAATGGGACAACAGTGGGATCCATCCACGGGATGGGATCCGTTCCCATTGGAATGGAAAAATGGTGAGACAGACCCATGGAATTCTCATGGGAATGGTGACATCCATAAACAGAATTCCTATGGGAATTCCTGTGTTTCCAAATTCCATTCTCCCAAATTCCATTCCCATGGGATTTCCATCTCCCTCACCTTTGCGCTCCAGCGCCTCCTGCCCACATCTGATGTATTTCTGGAGCTCTTCCACACAGCTCTGTGCCAGCTCGTGCTGAAGAGCCTCGTACCCTTCGGATTTCCAGCGCCTCTGAGTGATCTGGGCAGCTCTGTCGGCCGCCATGAAGCTCCCGGATCCCAGGCTGAAGGAGATGAAATCCCGCCCGTCGTAGCCGTACCGAAGGGTTCTGTGGATGCTCCCGTTGGACAGGAGGTCACAGCCACAAACCCGCTGCAGCATGTGGAGACCTGGGCAGAGGGTGGGATTGGACCCATGGAGACCCACAGAGTTGTGTTCCAGCCCCACAGAGCCCCAATCCAGCCGTATAGAGCCCCACGGATCCCCATTCCAGCCCCACAGATTCCACCCCAGCCCCATGGGTCCCTCTGGCCCCACAGATCCCAGCCCAGCCCCACAGATCCCAGCCCAGCCCCACAGATTCCCCCTGTCCCCCACTCACCCCCGCTCTGGTTGTACCGATCCCGCAGCGTCTCCACGTTGGTGATGGCCACGTGCTGGTTCCCCCTGTGGATCTGGGTCTGTCCATCCCAATATCCCGGCTCGGCTCCGGCCGCCATCCACGGCGTCTGCGGCTCCGCCCGGCCCCGCTCGCTGTCGTAGCGCTGGAAGGGGGTCCCGTCCAGGTACCCCACAGCCACATACTGGGGGACCACCAGGCCAGGTTCTGACATGGCCACGCTCAGGAAATGCAGGGAGTGGAGAACTGAGGGAACATGGACATTTGGGGAATCTGGGGAGTCCAAGAGCCAAGGAAAGGGGGAAGTGGGAGAGCTGGGAGAGCCGGGAATGGGTCTTCACCAATGGCAACCCGACTGGGCCGTGACGTCACCGGTCACCGGGCAGATCCCGCCGCCGCAGGTTGGGAGACGCGACAGTGCCCGAGGCAGCGCGGGGGAGGGGATGGGACAGGGGAATTCTTGGGAACTGATCGGAATGTCCTTTGGGAGCCCTGCTGGGACCACCCTGAGTCCTCCTGAGACCCTCTGCAACCCTCCGCGGCCACGTCTTGCGTGGGCTCCAGGGGGTCTCAAAGTCAAGGCTCTGCCCGGAGCCGAGCTGGCCAGGGAGCGCCCACCGGGGGGATTTAAGGCAGTGCCAGCGTTTCGGTCCTGTCCAGCCCAGCCGGTGTTGGCCAGGGGCCCGTGCTGGCTGCTGGCCCCGCTCCTCGCTCCGTCCCGCTCGTGTCCCACCTCCCTGCTCTGCTGCTCGGCTCGGATCCGCTCTGCTCCCCACCCGCTTCCCTCCAGCGCTGCTTCCCTGCCTGCCCGAGCCTGACTGCACCCGCTTCTCTCCCTGGGCTGGGAACCTTTTTGCACTTTCCTTTGGCAGCCTTTCCTTTTCCTCATCTCTCCCTCTTCTTCTCCCCCCCCCTCGCTGTTACCGTTCCTTATTGGTATCAATAAAGTCAGTTGTGTGTGTGAGACCCAACATTTGGAGGTTTGGGCCTTAATCTCGCCCTGGAAGGAATCATCTAAAAGAAGCAGGTTGCAGCCCCTGTCCGGTCTGTAACAGAGTCCCAGGGTCAGGGGAAGGGGGGGGAGGCCACTGGGAGAGGTGGGATGGAGATTCAGGGGGTCCCTGTGCCCAGGAAAGGGGGGTCCAGTGGTCCCCGGTGTTGAGGGAAGTGGGGGCTGGGGCTGGGAAAGGCAGGAATGGGGGTCTGGGGGTTCCCAGCATCAAGGAAAAGGGAGGATCAGGGGGCTGGGAGAGGCGGGATTGGCAGGAAAAGGGGCACAGAGGGGTATTTGTTGAGGATAAGGGAGTTCAGAGGGGTCCTGGTGCCAGGGATAGGGGTCCAGGGGGGTTCCCGAGCCCAAGAATGGGGGTTCAGGGGGGTCCCAGGACTCAGGACTGGGGCTCCAGAGGCGTCCCTGTGGCCGGGAATGGAGGTTGAGGGAGGTTCCCATGCCCGGGAACGGGTGTTCAAGGGGGTCTCGGTGCCCAGGAATGGAAATGAGGCGGTCCCGGTGCTGCATAGGGAGGTTTAAGGGGGTCCCGGTGCTGAGGGAGAGGGTGCAGGGAGGTCCCAGTGCCCGGAAATGGAAGTTCAGGGTGGTCCCGGTGCCCAGGAATGGGTATTCAGGGGGGTCTCCTTCCGGGAATGGGGGCTCAGGGGGTTCCCGTGCCCAGCAATCGGGATTCAGGGGGTCCCGGTGCTGAGGGAGAGGGTGCAGGGGGGTCCCGGTGCCCGGAAATGGAGGTTCAGGGAAGTGCCGGTGCCCGGGAATAAAGGCTGAGAAGTTGCCCGTTCCGGGGGTCCCACTTACCCTTCGGCTGCCCCCCCGAGACCGCCAAGACCCCCAGGAGCGCCAGGAGCGCCCCCAGCCCCAGCGCTGGAGCCATCGCGCTGCTCCGCTGGCCCCGCTGGGCGCAGTTCGGGAGACGCGAAAGCGAAAGTGGCCGAGGGAGCGCGGGGGGCGGGCCCGGGGGAATTGCCGGGAATGCCCCGGGATCCCCTTCGGGACCCCTCCCGGCACCGGCCCGGGTCCCCCCGCCACCCCCGGGCCCCCTGGACGGGCCCGAGCGGCGGGACCCCCGGGCCGGGCCGAGCTGAACTCGCGGGCCCTGCGCTTAAACTCGGCCTTAAAGGCGCCGCTTTGGGGCCAAAGCGGGGGAAGCGCCGCGATCAGCGGATGCCGCGGGGGCGGGGGGCGATCTCCCTGGGCCAGTGCCCGCCCTGGGCAGCCCCCACTGCCCCCCGCAGGGGTCCCGGGGTCGAGGCAAAGGGGGGCTCCCAAAGCCCCTGCCAGGGGGGAGCGGGAGCTGGGGCAGGAGCTCCGTGGGGAGAGAAAAGGGGGTGACGGCGGGATGGGGGTCCCGGGGGGGCACACACGCTCCGGGGGGGACACACGACCCCTGGGGACCCCCCTCAGCTCCTCCCGCAGGCGAAGGCCGAGCCCCAGCCCAGGGAGACGAAGGCAAAGACGGAGCCCCGACCCCCGTCAGCATCTTGGGGGGGGCAAAGGGGGCAGGACCCGGGAAACGGCGGCGGCTGCTGGGAAGGGACCGGGATGGACTGGGATGGACTGGGACAGACTGCCGCCAGCCCGGGCACATCGCCAGGGCTGGGACTCCTAAAGCAGCGGCTCCGGGCACATCGCCAGGGCTGTTTCCCGTAAACCGCGGCCGGTTCAGCACAGGGAGCTGGGATTCCGGGCCAAGCCGGGCGGGCACTCGAGGAGGCGGTGGCGGAGCTCGGGCGCGGCCCCGGCGGGGTTGGAGGGGCCGGGAGGGGGGTCCGGCGGGTTCGTCCCGCCCCGTCCCCTCCCCAGGGCCCGCGCAGGGAGCGGCTGCCCGCGGGCTCCTCCTTCCCGCCCAGCCCCGGCGGGCTCGGAAGGAGCCGCTGCCGCAGCAGCGCTGCCTCGTCCCGGCTCCTCTCGCTCCGACCCCTTTGGCTGCCCCGGGCCCGCCACTGCTCCCGCCCGGGGGGGACCGGCCTTGCAGCCGCCTCGGCTGCTGCCACATGGCCCTGCTGGGGCAGGGCTGGCACGGGAGGGGCTTGGAGTCCCTGCCAAGCCGAGCCGGGCTGGGACTGAAAGACAGACCCGGGCTGGGATGGACCGGGATGGGAATATACTGGGATGGGGCTGTGGGATGGACCGGGCTGGGAATATACTGGGATAGGGGTGTGGGATGGACCGGGCTGGGAATATACTGGGATGGGGGTGTGGGATGGACCGGGCTGGGAATATACTGGGATGGGGCTGTGGGATGGACCGGGCTGGGAATATACTGGGATGGGGCTGTGGGATGGACCGGGCTAGGAATATACTGGGATGGGGGTGTGGGATGGACCGGGATGGGGGTGTTGAGTCAGATCGGGGGTGTGGGGGCTGGGCTGGCCCAGGATGAAGCAAGTTTGCATTTGAGCTCAGTTCTCTCTTCCCAAGATTGCTGTGCCTGATCCAGAAGGAATTTGGGAGGGGGAAGGAGGATGTGAGACTAAGAGGAGCAAGAAGAAGCAGCTTTCTCCTGCACGTCCTGCTCCGTCTCCCCTGGGCCTCCCCCTCCAGCCCAGCCCAGCCTGGGGGTCCCACTTTGGGGTCCCCGTGACCCCCAGGTGTCTCCTTGCAGGGACCCCTCAGGTCAGGGCTGAATTCCTCTTGGATTTGCAGACAAAAGTGGAAATTGCTGCTGACTAGTTGGATTCCCTCTCCTTTGGTCACTACAGAAAAGCCCCTTTGAATCACTCCCACGGCCACTTGTGGACTCATTGCCCTTCCTTGGGCAGCAAATAAAAAAGGCCACAACTATATTGGCCTGCAGTAGTTTTGAACTGCTCTTTGGGACACAAAAGTCCTTTATTTTCCCCAAACCCAGTATCATTAGGAGTATTTTCCATGGTAAGTTCCTCTGTTGTTCCCCCCTAGGTCTGTTTTCTCCTCCTCTTCCCCCCCACCTGTTTTTCTCTCCAAAATGCCCTAAACTGCAGCCTGGGGCAGGAGGAGTTTGGGGGCTGGGGAACAATAAAAAACCACTTCATCACTGAAAGCTTCTTGAAAAATGAAGTCTTTGGGTGGGAAAAATGATCCTTTCAGTTCTTCCTTTGCAGACACAGGCAGAGGGTTCTTACCAGAAGAACATTTACCTATGGAGGAAATGCCAGGTGCAGGGGCTGGTAAGAACTGGAATTTGTTGATGTCAGGGTTTATGGAGAGTTTCAATAAGTGTGGAAACTCTTTGCAGCTGCCAGTGCCCCCCCAGCAGCATCCACATTCTGTGTCAGTGGATGCTTGTCCTGTTTCTTTGGGTTCTTTCCTTCCAAATATTCCACAAATGGCTCTGCTGGGGTCAGTTTTGCTTTGGTGAACCTGTGAATTTTGAACTTTGCCGTGGGGAATAGTGCATGGCCAGGGAAAGGCTGAGCAGGGAAAGAATTTAGGAAAAACCATGAACCAGGTGGGAAAATGTTCCTGATGTGGGAGGTTGGAGCAGCGACAAGAGGAGCGAGCAAAGGCTGGGACAGGAAAGAGTGAACAAAAACCAGCCCTGGGGAAAGGAAGAGGGTTAGAAAAAGGCTATGACTGCCTGGGGGGGAGTTGGGAGAATTATCAGCTCTTTGTGGGTTTATATTTGGCCCATGAGGCTTCCTGGCAAAGCCCCAGGAGGGAGCAGGACCTGCCCAGGCTCCGGGAGCTCAGGCTGTTGTCCCAGCTCAGCTCGGGGCAGGAGGAGCTGAGGGTGCCCCTGTCCCCTCTGTGCCCCCCGGGGGTGGCAGAAGCCCCTTGGGAGGCAGGTCCAGAGGCACCATCCCCTGTCCCGGGGGCTCCCCGAGCTGCCCTGCACAGGGTGGGCACACGGGGGGTGATTCTTGTGTCCCTTGGAGTGAATTAAAGTGAACCAATCCTGGATGATCAGTGTTTGCAGAGAGAGAGAGAGAGAGCATTTATTTTAGAGCAGGTGGGTTACAAAGGAAAACAGGTGTGGAGCCCTTTGTGTTGTGATCCAGCCACTCAAAGAATTATGGAGGGTTTCTGTCCCCTCTGAAAGCCTCCTGGGGCCTCCCCTGGGTGTGTTTGGGGCCACTTTGGCAGGGCCCGGAGGGGCTGGTTTGTGCCAAGTCTTTGGGGCCTGGGCAGGGGGTGCTTGGAGGGCAGCCCTGCTCAGAGGCCTTGTCGGGGCAGTGCTGGGTGTGGGCACCCCCCAGGGGCCTCTGCCATGGCCTGGCCCAGGGCAGAGAAATCTCCAGGCCCCAGAGCCCAGAGAGGCGCCCCAGGGCCTCCCCAGTGCCACAGCCTGGGGGCTCCGGCCTCCTCCCCTCAGCCCGACCCTCCATGGCCTGGCAGCAGCTCCTTTGCACAGCCTGGCCCAGCCCAAAGGCTGCAAGTCCCCTCCAACAGGCCAGTTCCTGCCGGGGAGGAGCAGGGAAGGAAGGCCAAAGGGCTTGGCAAGCTGTGGGGCTGGGGGGGTGCCCATCCCATGCTGGAAGGGGGCACGAGGGGGATGCAGCCCCAAAGATCCTTGGGTGCCGCTGACAGCACTGGGATCCCCCCAAACTGAGCCTGGAGCCCCCCATGGGCCTGGGGCTGTGCTGGGAGGTGGGGAAGGGACCCGGGGGGTACAAGAGCTGGGGCTGTGGGGTGCTCTTTGTGCCCCTTCCATGGGCTTTGTCCCCACATTTCAGCCCCAGGCCCATCAAGGACAAAAAGGTGCCCCTGGGGGTCACCGGGCTCGTCACGGGGCTGCTCCTCACCATCACTGCCCTGGGGGGAGTGGCTGAGGCTGGAGGAGCCACCCCAGAGCCTCCTCCTGCACAAACCCCCTGAAAGGAGTCACCCACACACATATGTTAAAGTTTAATTAACATTATCATATTAGATAATATTTGGTGTAACAATAATAATAGATAGGATTGTATTTCCAACCTGCTTTTAACCAGCAGCAAAGCACAAGGAGGGAAGGACGGGATCTGCTTGGAATTTGTAGGGGGCTCCTTAATTTTGGGGGGGTTCTGGCAACTTTTTTGGGGTGTTTCTGGCAGCTTTTTGGGTCTCAGCACTGCTCCCATCCCACCTCAGAGGGGGGAGAAGAGCAGAGCTGGTGAACCAGGAAACACAGACCTGGTTGGGTTTGGCTACAAAACTCCCCCTTGGCTGGTTTGGCCTTTCTAGAGGCGACTTTGCAGCAGATCCCTGTGGATTTGTGCTCCTGGGAATGCTCAAACACCGCAGCAAACATCTGCCATGGCACCGAGGGGTCTTGGGCCAAAAGGAGTCTTTTAAGGAAGAAATCTCTTTTCCATGCGTCCAGCATGATCCCAGTTGCTCACAGCCACTCCCAGTGCGGTCCCAGTCGCTCCCAGTATGATCCCAGTTACCTCCAGAGTGATCCCACTTGCTCCCAGTATATCCCAGTTGCGTCAACATGGTCCCAACTGCCCTCAGAATGCTCCCAGTCACTCCCAGTATGACCCCAGTCACCCTCACTGTGGGCCCAGTTGTCCCCAGCATGGGCCAAGCTGCTCCCAGTTGCCTCCAGCACAGATCCAGTCAATCAAAGTATGATCCCAGTCTTCCCCCAGCATGGTCCCAGCCAATCCCAGTTGCCCACTTGTACATCCAGTCACTCCCTGTTGCCCCCCATATGGTCCAACTCACCCCCAGTGTGGTCCCAGTCACCCCCAGGATGGTTGCAGACTCTCCCAGTATAGCCCAGTTGCCCTCAGCATGCTCACAGTCATACCCAGTTACTTCCACTTGCCCCAGGATGCTTCTAGTTCCCATCAGTACAATCCCAGTCACTCCCAGTCTATGCCAGTTGCCTCCAGAATGCACCCTGTCACTCCCAGTTACTCCCACTTGCTTCCAGCATGATCCCAGTTGCTCCCAGTTTCCCTCTATATAGTTCCAGTTAGTCCCAGTATGGTCCCGGTCACTGACAGTCACTCCCAGAATGGTTCCAGTATGGTCCTGGTCACTCCCACAGTGATCCCAGT